TTGCAGAAGGGGTTCGAAGAGTCCTCTCTGTGAAGTGACTTCCAAAATAAAAGGAATTGGTGCAGGGGCTGGGAAGAGGGGCAGCACGACAGAGCCCCCAGACTGAGCACCGAGCACACGGGGGTCTGACCACAGGATTCCCCGGTGCACCTCACCTTGCATTTGCATTTCAGTTGCACTCATCATTTCTGCATTTCTGTGTTCTACATGCACATTTTTGCTCATTGCATGTTACATTTGTGTCCCCGTCTGTCCTGTACTGGTGATGTATTTTTCTTTGGGGTGCTGCAGCGTTCGGGCCCCACATTTCATGTGGGGTAGCTTCCATGTAGCCTGAAGTGCCTGATCCTGCCTAATCTTGGAAGCTAAGCAGGGTCAGGCCTGGACACAAGTGGGATGGGTGACTTGAGTGTATGATTCTATGATTATTGCTGTCAACTGCCCAGAGAGCTTTGGCTATGGGCAGTATAAAATGTAGTAGTAGTAGTAATAATAATAATAATAATAACAACAACAACAACAACAACAACAACAACAACAACTTCTTGGACCCTGCCTGTTGCATGATGTCTTGACACAGCAACTCTTTTTGCCCTTGGTTTAAAAGGGTCTGATGTTGTTTGCTGTTGAGGTTAAAGATATATTGGAAAAGATCGTGGGTCTGAAGGGATCCGCAGTTCAGAAGGGGTTTCAGTGGCTGCAAGGTGTGAAACAGCAGGCTATAGAGTGCTCTTCCAGACTGTGGCTGCACCGTTCAGCTCCCGGGCTGCATGAGAGGCAGTGTGGAGTAGTGGTTAGAGTGTTGGACAGGGACTTGGGAGATCTGGGTTCTAGGGCCCACTCAGCTCCCTGGATGATTTTGAGCCAGCTATTGAACCACAGCCTAGCCTCCCTCACAGGGTTGTCGTTGTGAGATAAAATGGAGAAGGGGAAGGCCTTCTAAGCAGCTTGGGTTCCTTGCAAGAGGGAGAAAGATGGCACATAAACATAATGCAATGATGATAATAAGAGGAATGCTTCACTGGTGCAGCTGGAGCAACGTCTTCCATGGAGGGGCAAGCCCTCCGTGCGGATGGCGACCAGCCTCGACAGCTTGCCGAGATTAGACCAATGCAAGGAAGACGCTTACTTGGTCAATGGCGTTGAACAGGGAGGGCTAAATTCTGGCCCTTCATCCAGAGACAGCCTTGCTCTTGCCCCACACAGCTCCTTCAGGTTCATGAGCAGGACTTGACGTGTCACGTGCTCCCACTCGGAGATTTAGCATCAACCCTTGGAGCAGACTGCAATTCCAGCAGCGCATGCCAGCAACAGGATCAGAAGGGGCTCCTCAGAAGGAAGCCTAGAGGTGGTGATTTACCCAAGGAAGTTATCAGGAAAATAACCGCTACTCCCAGTTAGACCTATGGGCTGTCAAAACCTCCTCTTCAGACAGTTTTAAAATCTGGTATGCCCGTCCACACTCCACAGTGCATCTGCCCCAAAGACCTCCTCTGATGGGACAACTGACATCTTCAGGAGCCAGGGTTAGGTGGAGTACATACCCGAGCACTGCTTTGCTTGAATTCCCAGGTCTCCACATCACAACAACCCAGAGTATGGGTTCTTCTGGAATTGTGGGTTATTGTTATATGTGAACCCTGCACTGTGGTTTAATCATGGCTTGCTAACTCAGAAAGAGAAGCCATGGATTGTTGCTGGGTTGTGAAACCTGGGTTGTTTCAACATAGTTTAGGGTTCGCATGTAACACCCACCCACAATTCAACAACAAGCCATGGCCTGGTTTGTCATTATATGAAAACGAGCATATTTACAGGAGTGGGAAAGAAAGAAATTAAAGACTAAAGAAATTAAAAACAGCATCAAAACGCTTTTTCTGCCTGCTTGGTTATTCGCTGATTGTATTTTTCTCAGTTGTCTCCCGCCAGATAGTCGAGGGATAAGAAAAGGCTCATTAAAGATAATTCTGAAATGCTCATTAAACAAACTGTCCAAAGAGAAGCATCACTGCTAGAACTAAGGGTTTGATCTGCAAAGTCTTAGAAAGGATTAGCCCGTAAGAAGGCAGAGACTGGAAACAGGAGCCCGAGTGGCCCCGAGTAACAGCAATTTGGCTGGATATTGGAACGTGGACTGGGACGCTTCCCTGCATGCAGCCCGCAGATGCTCTGTTGTTCCATGGCATTGTGGGTAAGTGAAGCACCTTAATACATAGCAACCTTCACAGAGAGTTTTTCTCGTCTGTGTGTGTTTGCGGACAACAGAACTGCAAATGCAACTCACCAAGGTTGTACTGTCCTTCGACGAATCCATGGTGTGGCCACACCTCGAGTCCTATGGGATGTTCTGGTCACTGCAGCTAAGAAAGGATATGGTGGAGTTGGGAAAGCGATGACGAAGGCATTGGAGCAGATCCCCTGTGAGGCAAGGTTGTGGCAGCTCAGGAAAACAACGCACAGGGAGTTACATGATCCAATGTACAAAATCAAGTCTGGTGTGAAGAAAGTGGATAGCGAGACGTTCCCCCCCCCCCGCCCCTTCTCTCTCTCGTAGCATTGGATTGTCAAATCATGGAATTCACTTCCACATGTAGTCCTGGCCACCAATTTGGGTTCTGTCCTGAAAAGGATTGGGCAGAATCGTAGAGGAGAAATTGAACAATAGTTACTAGTCCTCATGACCACAGGCCATCTTTCCATATCAGAGGCAGGGTGCTTCTGTTTACCGGTTGCTGGGGAACACGGGCAGGTCCTGTTTCCAAGATCCTGGGGAAAACTGGTTGAGCACTGGGTGAGCAGAAAGGTGGGCCGGCTGTACCCTGGGGCTGATCCGGAGAGGCTCTTTGATGGGTGCAGTTCCCTTCCTGCCCCAGTGGGGGTGTTCACGGGGCCATCTGGTGGACCTAGGTTGAAAGCTTGTTGCTGTGTTGCCTGTTCTTGTCTAAGGTGATAAAACCATGGATGGGAAGATCTCTTAGTAGAACTTCAAGTAACATTTCAGCAGATCCGCAAGGATCTCTGACCACAGCAATTTAAACTTCTTTTAAAAATAACAACAGTGCAATATTTCTGTCTGTATTTTATTGCAATTTTATTTTTAACATGTGAATTGGTTTGTACTGTTTTTATCTTGTAATTGTGAGCATGCAAAGTTTTAAATAGATAAATATTCCCTCAAATTACAGTGCTGAATTAAAGAAAGCTGAATTGGAAGTCCACAAGCAGTGGGTTTTTGTGTGGAAGGGCTCGCTCTCAAAGCAAGTTCCTGGACATAAAATCCTTAATTTTAAGCAAACGTCTTTTGCACCTGACTCCAAGCGGTAGCTGTTGGGAATTCCAGTGAAGAAACATGAGGTCTTCAGACCTCTAGTCTGCTGGTTCATGGTAGTTTTCCAGAAGGTCCAATTTTTCAAAATGGTTCTGTGCACTGTCTCCCATGCTCTTCGTGGCATGTAAAATTCATTGCGTGTAACCTTGATTGATCTGGTTGCTACATTCGCTCTCTCAGCTGAGCAGCTCAAAGCTTTGATATGAAATATTTCACTGCCAGCCTTCTTGTGGAGCTGAGCAAAGGGGCTGGATGGAGACCCTTCTCCGTTAAGCACCTTTTAAAACTGCAAACGATCTTTTTGAAGGCAAGGCGTGATCTGCACTGATCCCACAAGAGAGAAATGCTCCTGGATAGTGCAGGAATGAGGCATTTCTTGGAATCCTGTATCGAAAAAGAAATTTCTGTAAAACGCTCCCTCTGGGGGCATGCTTTTCCATCGAAAACCACCCCGTAAGCCAGAATCTGTGTTTCAAAGCAGGTTGCAAACCAGGGTTTAGTGTGCCATCTGGATCGAGCACTGGGGCCAGGGTTGTGGCTTCCCACCCCGGCGTTTGGGCAGGTCACACACTGTGATTGGAGGTTCAGGTCTCCCACCAAATTCTAGCTGAGCTTCTTAGAAGCGCAGTGGCACCCTGATCCAGGGGCTGGACCCAGGAACGTGGCCACCCTTTTGAGACCATGGCCCAAGTCACAGTTTGGGGCTCAACGGTGGTGGACTGCTCTTCTCGAAGCAACTCAGCTGGGGTCTTGGATAGTTTCTCCGTGGTCAGCAAATTCCTGTTTTTCCAAATAACTCTTAGCACTCCAGTTTATCTGTGCTGCCGTCTGCTCTTTGCATCTTTTTTTATCTGCAAGCCACCTTGAAATGTGTATGTGTGTCATTTATCTAGGTTACTCAAGGGTAGCATAGATACTATTAAAAGAAAAGAATTGGGGGGGGGGGTTGGTTTCCTTGCATTCCCCACCCCCGTGATGTTGCAATGGCATGGAGCAAGACCAGGTCTGCTTCCTTTGGCCCAGTCCCTTCGTCTGCCTCTCCTACACACACAAACACACACACACACACAATCTAGGCATGGTCCGGAATGTTCATTAAATGGACCCTGTTCTGTGTACGCAGCCTGTTCTGGTCACAATGAGGACTAGCGTCCCTATGAATGCTTCCCTGAGAATGTAAGCAGCAGGAGATGCAATAGCATGGGTTGGATCAGTGATCGATTGATCGATCGATCGATCGACAATATTCCTCATTCCACATCCAAACAGATTCCAGAGCGGTGAGCTGGGTGAAGCTCAATCGAATAAAATAACAAAAGCGATGCACTGAAAACGTTTTAAAACAAAGTAACGTGAAGACCGTCTCTGGCCAGCTAGAAAAGGCTTCCTGAAATAATGTCTTCCTTGGCAGCACACGGTTGGGCCCCACCTGGCCTACCGAAGTGCAGGAATGGGGCCACCACATCGAAGGCCCTTCCCCTGGAGGACCCCGGTCAGGCCGTGGGTTTGGGTGGAACCACTGGCAGCCACCCGGGTCCCAATCCCAAGGACGCTCGCAAGGGGGCCCGCCCCACCGGCAGCAGCTCCCTGCGTTGGCCTTCTGACAGAGCAGCTTCAGGAGCTTGGTGTTCAGCCAGGAGCTGAGGTCTTTTTCCTTCCTCCTTGTTTCCAGGTGCAAGTTCTTCAGCCTGACGGAAACCCCCGAGGACTACACCATCATCGTGGACGAAGAAGGCTTCCTAGGTGAGCAAGTGCGGCATCGCGCCCCCGTTTCACAATCACCTCAAAGGCTGTAAAGCCATTTGTCTCCTTCCGCTTCCCTCCACTGCTGCCCTGCAGCTGCCTTGAACTACAAGCCCCATCAGTCTGGCCAGGGTAGCCTGTGATTAGAGATGGTGGGGATGGTAGTCCAAATCCCCTGGTGGGCACGCAGGAAAGGGTCTTGAGGCCTTCCTTTATGGTGGAAAATTAAAATTGCTGAGAACAGGGAAATAGAATTGCAACAAAGAGGACCGAGAGACAGATTAGCATGTGTTAATGTATGTGGATATCTGTGGATTTGTCAAAAAACCAGAATGGAAGCACAGTGCTTCACACTAGAATGGAAGAAACCCGGGTCCCCTGAGGGCCAGATCCATCTGCTGCCCAGGACCCGTCTATGGACAGACAACTTTGAGGCTGCCTCCCTGTGTACAGTTCTTGATCTTTTACGTTGGACTTAGGCAGCCCTTCCAGTGAGGACTGTCCTGCATAAAGTAGGACACCTACCCACCCCAGAGGTCTTTCAAAGCTTATAGGGGAGAATAGTTTTCCTGCTTTGCCTTTCAACAAATTCAGGTCTTGGGAAAAGTCCCAAAAGGATGGTAAGCAGGAAGCCTCAGGAAAGGGGACCTTGAGCAGAGGAAGATCAGAAGACACTTTTGTCCAACATGGACAAAAATCAATTCTTCAGCAATGAGGGCTAGAAACTTGATCTTCTGCACACACAGAGAACAAGCTCCTCCAGCTTTCTCTTCTTACAGTGGCCAGCTGTGAGTTTGGGTATCAACCTCTGGAGCTCTGGAGTTGGAACCACTGCAGTTAGAAAAACAGCCAAGGTGTATGTTGATATTTTTAAAAAGCCCTTCCACTTATAAATGTCAGGGATAAATCGTGTGGAAAATTCTGTAAACTAATGGTCTGAGAAATATCCTGCAAAAGCTATTTTCTACCCTCTGTTCTAATTGCATCTTAAACATTAATAGCCTCGGCAACCAGAGAATCACACACACACGAATGTCACAGTTCACCTGGAGCAATTTGTTTCATAAGATGATGAACTATATCAGGAGAAGTTGCGGGTGGGAGGGAGGGGCAGGTGGAGATCACCCCACTCTCTCGGACGAAGGTGGTCAACCGCGGCTGGCATGGGGGTTTAGAAAAGATGCTCGCCTCCAGCTTCAGATTTGGGTTTTCAGAACCACACCTGCGTGCTCGCCCCGCATCCCGGTTGTCCGGCCTTTTTCAGGAGCATCCACTGTGTTTATAATGCTGGCCTAAAGTCTCTGTGCCTGAGTGCAAAAGCTGGACAGTGCAGAAAACGAATGTTCCAGCCTGGTGCCGGAGGAGCTTTGCACCCCCCGGACCAACAGAAGGACCACCAGGGGTCCTGGATTGAATCCAGGCAGGACTTTCCCCAGGAGCAAGAACGGCAACAGTGAGCCGGTCCTACTTTGGCTAAGAAGGCTTGAATCGCTGGAGAAGACCGTCATGCTGGGAAAGGTCGAAGGCAGACGAAGAGGAGGGCCGCACATGGGATGGATGGAGCCTGAGACTTCCGAGAGACGAGCACAGCTGTCTTGAATAGTACATTCTGGATGGCTTCCGTTCATCGGCCGGAGAGGACTGACGGCCCGTAACGATGACGTTCTCAAACGAGGCTCTTCAGCCACATTGAAAGAGGGCACGATCCAGACAAGATATGCACCAGAGCCCTCTCCTTTTGCTGTCTGGAGACGAGGGCCGCACATCGGTGCTTCCGTGGATCTCGTTTCAACAAGCACCCACTTAGCTTTTCTAGCAAAACCCAAGAGGCGGCCACGCTGAGGTGGAGCACCACGGCCAACTGGGGGAAAAAGCCCTTGCAGCTTCGCGTTGTTCCTGAGATTTCTCGGCAAACACAAGTGGCCACCAAGCCACCATTTCGTTTTGCAGCTTCAGCCTGAGAGTAGCCACCCCCTTGGGAGGAGTTCCCATGCAGCGAGGGCCCCCTCCCCTTTTCCCATCATGTCAGCACATCATCAAAGCGGAGGACCAAGGTGCAGTTGCAACGAATTTGCGTACAATACTTTGAAAGCGGAGATGTGGGAAAACTGCACCTCTCTGCCTTTGCGTGGAGGAGTAGCTGCTCCCACACAGAACGCTGCTTTTGAGCTTCTAAGGGTAACCCCGGAACAGAGCAGAAGGCTCATTTCCACAGAAGCCATTCTAAGGCGAGGTGTGAGCTCTACTCACCTGTGGACTGAAGCGCTTTTTCTGATTTCGGGTTGTTTTTAGAAGCACAAGAGCTTCTCGGTGGCTCCAGGAGCTCCCACAGAATACAGTTCTGCCCAGTTGTTGTTATTCACACAGAAATGCGTTACGTCTAAAGATGTGGTTGATGCCCATTGTTTTTATGCCCATTGCTGATGATCAACTGCTAAGGCAGCCTGGTAGTCACCCACCTTCTGCTCTTTCATCTTTCCTTAAGTCTTCAAACAGAGGACTGTCAACTAGGAAACATGGCCACCCTACCAAAGAGGCTATCATCCCGGACCTGGCCAGACCACATGCCGGGAACGGCGTTCTCTGATATTTCCACATAGGCCACCAAAAGTATAAAATTCCCTTGCCTCCATGGCTGGAAATCCATGCACAGTCAAACTCTGTCGGGACAATTTTGGGAGACCGGGAGGGACGGTTGGTGCCATCTTTAAAAATGCGTTTTCTTCCCTCTCACCGGGAGCCGGTAGTTAATCATTCAGAAATTCCATGGCTCTTGAAATGCCCGGTTGATTAATCACATGACTTTTTGGTTCTGGGACCTGCAAGTATGATCTTTTTTTACTTTTTTAAAGTGTGTTTTCTCATCAAATGCCTATTTTAACTAGTGTGACACCATGAAATTCTGCTAAGAAATGCACCCAGAGCGATGAAATTGGACCAGGAGTCCTTCATCTGTAACAGCCCCACAGTATTTACACATTCCAGTATGGAAAACAAAACTAATGGAGAGAAGCAAAGCGATTGGCCCAAGTCCTCAGGGTTTTGACGTGGTGACCTCAAAATATCTACATACAGGGGTACCTTGGCTCACAGACTTAATCCTTTCCACGACTCTGGTCAAGACCCAAATTGGTTGTGAGCCAAGTCAAATTTCCCCATAAGGTTCAATGTAAATAAGGTTAATCTGTTCTGTAACTATTTTTTTAATCACAAAAATTTGAAGCAAAGTGACAAAGAACAACAAAGATCGCAGCCCTCTCCCCCACCCGATGCGGAGCGCGATCGTCACCCGATGTGGAGTTCGTGACCGAAGGTGAAATTTTTCTGAAATCTCTGTTCACGACCCAATTTGGTCATGAACAGAGGCATTCGTGAGCCGAGGTGCCACCATATTTTGAACTGTGACCCCTTTGAAATGGTGCAACGGAGCCCTGATTTGACTTTCAGCCAGCCCAGGGGTCTCAAACTCGCGGCCCGTGGGCCAATGGCCGGGACGGACGGGACACGGGGGGGGGGGCCTGCGGCCTTCAAAGCGCCGGCAGCGCCCGGGCCGGCCATGGGATGAGCGGCCCCCCACCACCGCAGTGGGGGAATCCTTGCTGCGGCCCAGCCTCGCCCCGACTCTACTTCCAGCGGCCCCCAGGGAAGTTGAGTTGGAGACCCCTGAGCCAGCCACTGACTCTCCAGCTAGCCTACCTCACAGGGCTGTGGTTGCATCACAGTCATCCAAGTCCAGCAGCATCTCGTTCAGTCCCTTGGAGAATGTGATGCAAGGGCTGCACATGTTCAGCCGAGAGAATCCGAGCACAAGAGAAACATCTCGCTTCCTCCCCCCCCACCCTTGTTTCTCTTCTCCGGCTGCTATTCAGGGCTGGTGACCTTCAAGTTTCCCCTGATGTCAAGAAATTACATTTGGCATGGATTCTATTTATTTCTCTCTCTTGCTTTCTCTCTCTCATTTGGTCTTCTCTTTAAATCGACCCCTCCGTCCCCAGGGAACTGGCCTGGGGTGGGTGAAACCAAGCCCCTTCCCACACCTCGCAGGGTTTATCTGCAGAAAAACTTGTTTGCTTTACTGGTAGTTGCAGAGAGAAGCATTGCCTCTGTCTCGTATTTTTATTTTGGTCGATGGCAAAAGCAGCGGTTCAGCTGTTGGCCTCTGAAATGACTCACGGCGTTCTGCACTGGCCGCACTGATCCTGGGGATGGGGTGCCTGCCGCTCCGGTCGGCCGGAAGCGTTTGGGGCTCTTCTGCAATCAGAGGGTATTCGTTAGCTTCTTTAATTAAGTACAGGCAGGCCAGACCATCTCACAGCACCCTTAAAATACCGGCTCGTGGCTAAGTCTGACTGTTAGGACCACGCTGTCAAACCAATTCCAGTTCAAGCCACAAGGAAGGATAAGAGGCTTGTTCAGCCTTTCAGCTCGGTCTCTCCATGACTCCAAAAGCCCTTCTGGAGGTGAATTTATGATTGGTTTATTCGTAGCCCACGTTTTTCTGTTCAAGAACTCAAAGGAGCGTCCATCATTCTCATCCATCTTGTCCCCGCAACAACAGCCCTGCAAGGTAGGCTGGGCTGAGAGGCTGTGCCTGGCCCAAAGTCACCCGGCTGGGCTCCATGGCCGAGCGGGGACTTGAACCCAGATCATCAGGCCCAGCCTCACACTCTTCACGAGCACCCCACACGGTCTGCAGTGTGGAACTGGAAGCAGGCGATCCTTGGAGAGCCTCCTCTGGACTGGCTGGATTTCCAAACCGCATGGTCCTCCTCCCCCTCTTTGCGATCGCCATGCAGAGAAGGAAGGAAGGGGGGGGGTCATGTGCTGCTGGCGCTTGTGGGAGATGGCAGGGGGCTTTTTTGGGAGGGGGGGAGGGAGGGCTGTCTCTTCAGGAGAGAGAAGGCCTTGTGCACGGGCAGCCAAGAGACTCCTCCTTCCCCCTGCCTTCCCGGCTTCTCGCTTGCAAACGGCACCTGGGTCAGAAATAGAACCGACCCACA